CACAGACGAGATATATGAATAGACGTTTCACGTAATGTAATTTTTCGGCCGGAGTTTCTGGGGTCCCGGGACCCCATTACCATTTTCGTGTCACTCGCAACGTTATCAACAGATTCAGAAATTAACACAAGAGGAAGTGAGACAGAAAATAAAATTACATAAATTTTATTATTTTTTAACGGAATTAAAGCTGTAGGGTCCATCATTGGACATTAATCGATTAATTTCATTGGAGAAATCAATCGATTAAGAGTATTTAAAAATTTCAAGATTATTAAAATTCATAAGGATGTATTTCATTGATACGTACACCGCAAATTCTCTATTTTTTATTTTAAATTGTAATACATCATTTATTAAAAAAATAACTCGGCAGAAACGTATTTGCGACTCGAAATCAGTTTAATCAGACTGTGCATCGGGGCCCCGGAAACTCCTCATTCCTCGCTTTCGCACACTATGCTCAATTGCGTGTACGTGAGCTCGTTGAGTTTCGGAAGAGCCGAGAAGAACAGGCTGATACTCGCTTTCCTTCTCGCTCTTGCATCGCTGACGTCGTTTACATTTCTCGAAAGCAAGCCTGGCATCGCCAACCGTTCGAATCGTCAGTAAACGACAAAAGCCATCGTGACCGACAGACCTTACATTTCTCGAAATCGGACCTGGGCGCTTTTTGAAGATTCATTGACTTTCCATACGAAGCGACCATGCGTTATATACATATACATGTTATACATGCTAGGAACTATAAATTGTATAACTTTCGTTGTATATCTACTTTCTAATAACATGGGAAAATTTTAAAATATAAAAAATGTAAGAATACTGTAGAATTTTTGCAATGGAGAATTATTGAAAGAAAATGAGGTAATTATTTAGAAAAGGCCGGGTCTCACCGATTTCGATGATATTTGAATATGTTGTAGAAATCAACATTTTGAGCAACTTTTTCCTATACATACAGGGTGTTCGGCCACCTCTAGCAAAAATTTTAATGAGCGATAGTAGAGGCCAAAATAAGACGAAAATCAAGAATACTAATTTGTTGGTGGAAGCTTCGTTAAAAAGTTATTAACGTTTAAAGTGCCGCTCTTACTGAATTTTTTTCTCGAAAATGCGCAAGATTTCGGGGGTATGTCTATTCACCAAAAATGACTATAATTGAACCCTACAACCGAAAATAATTTTTCCACAACGATTTGCAATTTTTAATTTTCTCGAATAATTTCACACCTTCTCTATTTTTTTTCTCGAAAGTGGGCAGGATTTCGTGGGTATTTCTAATGACAAAAACTGATTGTAATTGACCCCCGCAACCGAAAATAATTTTTCCACAACGATTTGCAATTTTTTTTCTCCGTTGAAAAATTTAGGCACCTAATTGGATTTTCAGTAAGGAATTTTTTTCTCGAAAGTGCGTACGATTTCGGAGGTATATGTAATGATAAAAAATGATTGTAATTGATCCCCGCAACCGAAAATAATTTTTTTAAAACGATTTGAAAAATTTTTTTTCGCCGAAAAATTTCAGCACCTACTCGATTTTTTTTCTCGAAAGTAGATAGGATTTCGGAGGTATGTGTACTCACCAAAAATGATTGTAGTTGACCCCCGCAACCGAAAATAATTTTTCCAGAACGATTTGAAATTTTTGAATTTAATTGTTAATAACTTTTTAACGAAGCTTCCATCAACAAATTAGTATTCTTGATTTTCGTCTTATTTTGGCCTCTACTATCGTTCATTAAAATTTTTGCTAGAGGTGGCCGAACACCCTGTATAACCGCCGCTCGGCCTTAGTTTCCGAGATTTTCTTCAAAAATATCGCTACTACTACAATGAATTCTGTCTATATGTACATATCTGTGGCTCTATATTGCATCAGTCCACGATCGTTGCTTTTTTCTCTTGTTTGTATTAGCCGGCATGACAACCGACGACAAATAATGTATAATGTGTCGATTATAATTATAATTTTATTACTTTACATTTTTTAAATTTCTTACAAATAACGTGTATCAAACCTTGAAATGAGAACACAAAACTTAATGTAAAATTACATTGAAATTCATTTGGTTGTTTAGACTCAATCGTATTAATAGTATAAATATATGAACGCACGTCCATAAGCGTAGTAAAAAAATGTCTTTTTAATAGTTAACCCTTTGCACTCGGCACCTTTTCGGACGTTAGCTATCAGCAACTCGACGCTACTTTCTCGCGAAAACGAAAACCCTTGAGTCGTGATATTATATGGTACAACTTTGGAACCAAGTAAGGCATTGTGTTGAAATTTGGTTTATATGTATTTATGGACATTGAAGAACACATATTTACAATACAAAATAAAAATTTATTTCTCATAATTTTCTATGGTATGGTAAATTCTGAAACAATTCCCAATATACATAGCAGGTTGATTTATACATGTTTCACAATAAAATGTTGTTTGACGTCTTTCTCCTGGTGTTTTCCTGTCGGAACAAATAATGCAGTCCCGGTTTCTTTGACCTACATTTGGAATATGTAGCTTATTATTCATTCTATTGTCCGACAAAGAACGTTAATTTATTTAGATTATAACGAAGATAGCAATAGGAATGGTTCGACTTTGAATGAAGTTTCGATTTTACGTTTATAGTTTTTTACGTTTACGTTTTATGTTCTTTATGTTAAATAATTTTAGTAAACATTAAATAATATAGTTTATATAGTTACGTTTATTGTCCACGTGTTTGAATCCGACCATACGCCTCTGACCATCATCGACAATCCTTCCACTCCCAACGTAAAAACGGCTGATATATTTCTCATTTTAATAGAATATTTCCCATTTTAATAGGAAAGTACAGGAAAACATGTGTTTCTTAAAAAATTGCGGTGAAATCAGTTCATTCTCCTTAATCACTAATAAACTTTCATGTCCCCTCAGAGGGGACAACCGAGTGCAAAGGGTTAAAATATGTTCATAAAATATTATCTTTTTAAAACGTGTATTTCCGTAAAAACAAATTTTTGTAATTTTTTCTTCATTATGGTATATTGCTTATACATTGTATATGACTACACAGGTCGGAAAGTCAAAAATGCCTAGGCAGTCGAGAATCTCGGCTCGAGAATATGCGAGATCGAATTTCAGCTGTGTTGAGAGCAAGAAGGATAGACTGACATTCGCCGCCTTTCTCGAATCTACGAAGCTATACGAAACGCCAGAACTCATATACAAGGTGGTTGGCATTAGTGTGTGTGAGTGGTGGGGCAGTTCCCTTTCGGCACGGGTCTGCCGTCTGATAATACTCCACTGTCTTTTCCAATCCCTCCCATAATCAACTCACATGTATTTACGTACACACTCAGCTGGCTGCCCATCAATACTAATTCAGTGCCTAGTTTCTCAACTAACCGCCATCCATGAGAAGAGGCCGCTAAAATCAGCTACGAATTTTCAGGTCGGTATGACAGTCAGATTCGGCCGCGAAAGTCCATAAGGTGAAACGTCTATTCATATATCTCGTCTGTGGCAGAGAATAGCTGCTGTAATACCGACCTGCCGAATCGGCGAGGTCACGTGCCGTGTCTACCCCTTTAATCTTATGCATGGCGGTAAGTTGAAAAACTATTTACTGAATTAGTGTGATGCAAACAGACTGCAGTTATGTGTAATTGTATCTGAGTTGGAAAGTACGAATTATTCGCGGTTCTTTCTCAAGTTAAAGTACTAAATAATTTGCATTAATTGTATAGTTCCATTTAGAGTTGCGAACGATAGAACTTTTCGCGTTTGCTTTTCCAGATCCCAATTTTGAGAATCAAGACTCAATGTATCATATGGTTCATAACTAATTTGAGTAATGCAAAAGTATCCTGACTTCAGAATCGTAAGCGTAAATAATTCACCCTTTTTCTGTAAAAATCTTGTCGGGCGAATTTTGATATGCCCTTCTGGATTTTCATAAGACAGGTTGAATCTTATTCAACGTAAGGTGTTCGCGTTCCCATAAGTGGACAAAAATCTAAGGTTGTCGATAACGTCGGTAAGTAGAATTTTTCATGCTTCGTGAGAACCAGCTGGCCTGCTACAACCTTCCGCGCGAACGCAGCTGTTAGCGGGTTGCCATTCTAGAGGCGGAACTTTAAACGTTAATAACTTTGTAACGAAGCCTCCATCAACTAATTGGTATTCTTGATTTTCGTCTTATTTTGGCCTCAAGAATCGCTCATGTAAATTATAACACCTTGTATAGCTTCTTCAGCAGATCCAAAGCTATCAATACTTTGATCGTTTATCAAATCGTAACTCTGGCTACATTTAGTTTTAGTTCTTATATTTTCGGTAAAGAATTTCTTTCTCGAAAGTGTGTAGGTTTTCGGGGGTATGTCTATTCATAAAAAATGATTGTAATTGACCCCCTCAACCGAAAATAATGTTTCCAGCGCCTACCCCCTGTCGATTTTTCTTAAACATTCGTTTTTGATTTTTAATAAATTTGTTTGACGCTCTACGGAAATGTTGTCTAATACTTCTTTGTAGGTATTCGTGAAACAACAGAAATAAGAACAATTTTTTGACAAACTTGGATTTAATCTATGTATAAAAGCTTCGCACTCAACGGCAAAATGCTCAGGAGAAATAATTTTTATTACAGTCGTTTGGAAACTAGTTTTCTTTGTATCAAAAAACTTGCTTGGTAGAACTAAACGTGGCGATCAACGAAACTTCGATTCCTCCTATCTCCTAAATTTAGTAATCTAAAGTGTCAATATAATGGATCTATGGAACGTGGATTCGACCTATCTTCTTTCGGGTCTCTACTCGTAGCAACCTCCTCGTGATGAAATATTGGTTATCGGTGTTACTTGCAATAAAGGACTTCGAATTTAAAATAATTTCTTTAAATATCGGATAAAATTGTTAACAATAGCAACCCTGTACACGATATAAAGAAAGAAAGACTTTTCTACGGTTATAAAAATAGTATATTGTACACAAATTCGGCGCTCAGAATATATATTCAATTGTTTTTAAATTTTCTAGCTACTCAGCGAATAAAATTCGTGGAAGAAATATGACAATCGATAATCTCCGTAATCGATATTATACATTATGCAGCTATTCGATGATATTCCCACAAATCGTTCGAGTCTCCTTTCCGGTAGATTATTCGATCGGCTATAAGGTGATCCCTTGCGAAATAAAACTCCATCATCGTCGGGAGTAATTTATAGCCAATGCTGAAACATTATTTAAATCCAATAAATTCGAAATCGTTCTCGCGCTTTTACGATTAAAATAGACATACAAATGATCCGGTATTGGTAAATTATTTTCGTTTCTACGAACTGAATCTACTATTTCGTCGTGTCGTTGCTTTAGTTCCTCCCAATTTACTTCTTGTCCTTGATTGCATAAGTGAGATCGAATTTTGCAATACAATGGTTCCCTGTCGTACAGATGCTGAAATTCTTCCTTCTTCAACCTTTTCATGGTCCCTTCCACTCTGACCTACATGCACACGTATGAATCTAATAACACAGTAGATTATTACGAACTGTCAACTTTAGTACACACCTGTTTCGAGATATTCTGTTCTTCTTCGTTCACGTAAAGCCACAGATAACACATGGCGACTTGAGGAACATTTTCCTATAAACATCAAACATCGTCAGTGAAATAAGGACAGTAGTAAAAGTCGATTTTCAATCAAAAAAAAAAATTGTTTACTATATTGTCGACTTTTTTACTGCGACGATCCGTTACGATCACGAAGCCATCATTATCGAACTCTCGAAGAACAACGTTCCTCGCTGACACCTTACAGTCTCTGAAAGAAAGGTCCTTTCGTTAAAGAGTCAGCAGGCCGTGCATTCAAAGCGTCGATCGATCGTGCACCGACTTTGAAACAGTCGCCAAGCAACAGGCGTCCGGCATCTTTGGGTTGTATTTCCGTGCTTCGTCGTGCCAGATTCTGAACAGATCGATCGGATGGTCCAGGATTTCGTCGATTCTTGCCACGTCCGAGAGATCCGATCCTTTTGATTCCTTCGCAGACGACGATTCCCGAATGGGAACCGGTTTAGAAACACATCGAGTAGAATGTACCGTCCGTAGTAGAAACTGATCGAAGATTTAAGAATTGTATAATTAATAAAAAAAAAAGTAAAAAAAAGAAAGAAAGAGAAATTTCACGTATAAGCTAGTATCATTGGGTTTTATTAAATATGACGTATTTCGAAATTGGAATCCCTTATCAGGAAGGTGATTATCGTGGTTGATTTTGTGCAAATAATAAAGATGTTATTTCGAAACACGTTTTTGAGAAAGATAAAAGTCTTAAGTTATAATACGACGCGTACAGTTTGTGCTGACATGACACGCGACGCCCTTCAAATGCCCAAGATTGAATGGCATTGTATAATTACGTAATGTTATTTGCATCTGGGACGAAATTGGCCGTTGGAAACGAAACTTCGAATCAGTATAATACGTAATAATCCTTACCATGACTCTGATTCCAATAAGCCGGCTCCGATATCCAATGTGTGTTTACACTACGGCATACGTTCTGTCAACGCATTCGCCGAACCAACGGCCGGTACGCGAGTGTTGAGCATTTATTAAGTAACTCTACACGAAACCTCCCCACCATCGTTGACGGAGTTTGCGCAGTACGTCCTTCGCAATACCACTAAAGATACTTGCAATACGCCAGCGGTGAATCTGAACTTGTAAAATGTCTATACTTACTTATATAACGACGGTGAACGGGAACACGATCGTATAAAGAAAACTACAGTTGTCACGTAGAACAGAAACGCACTACTAACGAGAATGATCCACCGTGCGAACAGAAAGTTCAATGTCCAGATTTCATGCCCTGTTTCTCAATATGCTCGATAGATTATCGTTATCCCTGCGACGTACGGAAATAAATCGGTAAAATTCTCGAACCCTTAGTCTTTAATGAAACACTTCTTTGTACAACGTTCTTATATATTCGTATAATACACGTATATATTACACGAATAATGATACAACAATGAATGTCTGACAAACTTTAATTACATTCGATTCGCACGAATCAAAATAAAAACTATATGCCACGGCAACGCAACGCGCTAAACGCGGTAATTTACAATGTTTGTGTACTTTACAGTCGCATGGGCGAGCAATCTACACCACAAATTATGAACAGAAAGTTCACGTGGAAAATTTGTGCAACGATAATTTCGTGTGAAGCAATCACTCGATCGTTGACTTTATCCAAGCGATGTTCGACGAAACTTTGTCGTACAATCGTGGCCTTTCAACGCCGACTTTCGAGCAAGCTATTCGCCAGCTACCGACACCTGTCAGAGACCATCTGCGACCGTCCGATTGAAGACATAACATAGGACTACCGGCGACCTCTTCTTCCTATGGACAGAAGACAATGATTACAATAAGTCTTTCTATGTGTGAAAATCACTTTTGTTCGCGAGATCTTGCCTGTTTCACGCTTTACTGACAATGAGCTCTAAGGGGAATCCCCCAGGTTGGGGAGGGGGAGGGGAGGATAGAAATGTTCAACTTACGAATCACGTTCATTTTAAGAATCATTTGTAACCTTTGAGTCTATTTACACTACATAGAGAAGGGTTGAAATATGAATATATTTTTTTTCAATACACTTACGCTACAATCGTCGGTGGAGTAGGCAGGTTCCGTGCAAATGCTATTCACTGACGCAATACTAATGTTTTCGCATTTCTCCATCGCGCTGCGTCTAAGCTGTACCCTCTGGAGCAAATCGCCTTAAAAAAAATTTCTTCATGAGAGAAGACCATTAAACGAAATCTCAACTTATAAAAAATAAATTCTATTCCCAATTTTATTTTCTAGAAAAACGATTCGAAATCAAACATCCCTAAGAAACATCCCATCGTCTAATTAATGTATCCGTCGAACCCGATGATTACATAACAGACGTAACAATCTGCATTGTCGTATCGAGTAATAGTATTTTCCACGGACTCCCGCGCTAAGCGTCTATTTATAACGACTTCAAGGATATTCGTCTCGATTTAAGATCGAGAAAGTTGCCTTCGTCGAGATTGTGTAAGCAGTCGCGATCTAACATCCCTTTGAGGTAGACGCAATGTGCAGATATTTCGCGCGCGCGGAAACGACACGCATAATTACGTTCTTATGTAACTAAACCTTGAGGTTCCGACACGCGTTAAAAGTTCGAATGGAAGGATCGCGTGTAACGCGCGTATCGATTGACCGAGGAAAGCGAGAAATTAATCCTTACGATTTCTCGCCCAGCCTAGAGTGTTGCAGTGAGACGCGTTCGCCGGTGGATCTTGACTCGATGGTAGGCAAACCGGCCTAACGAAATCGGAGAACGTGGTCAAAGGTCGATCCAGCTTCAATAATACCGTAGTGCTCCCTTCTACCGGCGATTTGGTCATGCCGACGATTCTGCGTTCTTGTTGCCAAGGCGAGGTGCTCGAAAGTCGAACGGTACCCATTCTCGCGGACCATTCTGCTTTCGATTGACTGAAATCATAGAACGATAGCTCAATGAATTGTTAGAGATGACGACAATTGTTAAACTGATTTTTGAACAGCGGATTACGATTTCAGATTCATTTTAAAGTTAGTTATCGCTTTAGTTGTTTAATTAACAGTGATTTACCGATAAATTTAACATTTGTATTCGTTATTCAGAAATAAAATTCACCAAATAGTAAATGCGAGTATCAGAGAAATTTACCCCTGAAAACAGGACGCTGTGGTGATTAACCAATTTTCTGCAATGAGAGTTGCGTCGCATACATGTACATCTTCCTTGAACAGAGCCACGTGCCAGGGCCAATCGCCTGGCTCCGCCATTTTACTGAGACCCCGCGTACCACTCTTTCCGCGTAACGACTGCATGCCGCACTCTAAGCAGAAATCACGATTAATAATATTCACATAATTTTAGAGTATCCAAAATAAGAGTGACATATTTATTGTCACATATGTTTTTAGAATTCAAGTTTAAGAATCGATTTCGGTAAATTTTGATTACGAATTCTTGTAGTATTGTACGGATGGTGAAACGTTAAAATAGCTAGTTTTATTTTGTTTAATTTTAGGGGCTCTTGTTGGCGCTCTTGCAATATGACGTTTACGTGTCCACGGTCCTGGTTGTGCTCAGTAGAGAGTCTTCGTCTTGACAATAAAATTTTCCAGTAATTACCAGGCATTACGACAGTTTCACGTACCAAGTTCAGAGCAACGGATGTACATAACTTCTTTGCTTGGACAGGACGCCCTGACAAAAGTGATTTCCGTGGCTGACGGATCCTCCATGTGCACGTACTGTACGTCCTCTTCGTCGTCGATTCTTATTTCCACAGATTTCACGCCTCTGCGCAGAACGAACTAGGGTAACGTTGGCTCAAAATGATTTGCATGTTCTAGGTACATTGACACTTTACAGTTTTAGCACAATTTACTGTGTTTCATATAAATTCAAATAAAACTGATCGTTGATATTATAAACGTGTGAGAATAGTCGGTCTAATGAAGTGTAGAAATACTTACATGTACGTCAGCAAATTGCACAGGGAACTGGCGGCGGTTTGAAGAACGTTTTCAACTTCTGTTTCGGGCAGTGTTGCATTTAGGTTTGCGGTGCATAGTTTACCGATGCTACCTTTCTCGTTGAACACTACGAAGCCCTCGCTGTTGTACTTTGCTGCATGCGGAGTGTCCGATGGTTGAGATTTGATGGCTCGAATGCTTGGCGCTAAGGACACTGAAGAATATAAAAGATTAAAAAATGAGAAAAACGCTAGAATGCTATTTACACACCGAATAATTCAAATAGCCATAAACTGATTGTGAATTTTTACACTTTATGAGACAATGAAGTAGGTTCAAACGAAACTATATAACTATTCGAGACGAGATTGACCAGAGGCATTCCTCAAATGCAAACAAATACAATAGACTTTATATAAATAGTAATTTAAATGACAGCTTGTTTCTAAACATTTATTAGAGTTCACAGCGATCAGTATAATTTTATTATGAGTTGCTACCATTGTGTCGGATATTACTTCCCAAACTGAAGTGTTTATATTCTTATAGCAATGCTATTAATCATTAGCTTACGTGATATAAAGATTTGACCAATATTGAAATAATATTCTTCAAAAATTCCGATCGTAAGCATTTCTTCGGTTCTCCAGTTAACTTACGGCAATCCTTTTCGTCGCTGCCATTCGCGCAGTCCATTTTTCCATCGCATCTCTTGGTGCGCGGAATGCATGTTCTGCCTACGCCGCAATGCATATGACCGTCGCGACAATAAGCGCAATTTTTCTCGTCCGAAAGGTCAGGGCAGTCGATCACGCCGTCGCAGATTCTCGGTGACAATGCCTTCGCTTGAAGCGCTTGCACGCATCCTACAACAATATTCGTTTCGTAATTACATGAACCCGCGATCAGGGGTTCGATTTGAACGCCCACGCTCTTCAAACGCTTATTATTTCCGCGTACGTTGCGATCGCTTACCTGGTTTTGCCCTGCAGCCACCTTGGTCCGCGTACTCTGGAAAATTCGAGCAGTCCAACAGCCTCTTGATTCTTTCGGGAAGTCGACTGCCGCATCCGCTCCAGAATTCTCGACAGAAGCTTCGGCACGGTAACTGTAGTAGGTCTTCCGGTTGGCTTGGTACGCACGCCGGTTGCAGAACTTGGCATACAAAATCGTACGCCAATCGGTAACATTCCGCGTCGACCAGTTCCCTGTCGGATAACGCGCGTGAAACGCGAGTGAGTATTCGAGTTACAAGATCTCGGATTACGCGGATTCGTAATTACGCGGTTACACCCAGAAGAATGTTCGTAACGATAAATGGAATCGAGTTTTCAAACGCAAACTGCAAACGAATTTCGTTTACGTAAAGATCGGGTTCCAGAAACGTCAACAAATCGTGATAATATGCACCTGAAAGCGATCACGTCTTCTTCCACGTCGGCCAAGGAACGATGTCCCAATATGTTTGGATAAGACGTGACGTTGTAAGGAAGATGTTTACAATAGGAGAGATCCACTTCGCTGCATCTTCTAGGAGGCGGTGCCGCGGTCGTCGGCGGGGGCGTCGAAACGGTCGTTTGCAAACTGACCTGAGCGGTCAGCGCTTTTATGCTTTCTTGAACCTCGAGACTCTGCGAGTCGATCGTCAGGTTCGTCAAGTACCTAGAGGTTTCGGGATTTATTTCTCGCGACAGAATGTCTACAATGTCGGCGGTGGTAATGGTCTGGTAACGTGGATCGAATCGGACGTCAAAGTGCACGACCAAATCGTCAGCCTCCGATCTGCACAATTAATCAACGATGTACGATTAACGATGGGTGGTTGAGGGTTGATATTTAATAATATATAAAATGTTTTTTAGTTTTCATTTTTATAAAATGGGTAATTCAACGATAAAATCCTTATTAATAAATAGTAAATTGGCTTCTTCGATTGCTTACATTTCGCGTACGTTCAATTTATAATATGAAGTGTCTAATATTTGTAGGGATTAAAATTCAGATGATAGATTTGTTTAGTCTATGTGGAGGAGGGCTCGAGATGTTAGAGTCTCCTCTTATATCGGTCATTGGATATCTTAATACGAGTTATATCAGTGTATCGCGTATCACGGTTAAAGGAACACGTGTCGTGAAATCACGAGAAAGCCGTTTCAATGTCGCCGGTAGACCCAAAGGGATTTCTCTCGAGTCGTGATCATTTCAGAAGAGATATCTCAACTTTCAACGATATCTCCCGTGAAGAGCCATACTTTGTCCTTATCCTGTTGTCGTTAATTTTTCAACCACTTACCCATCGAGCGCTAATACCTCCGCGGCAATGAAGGAGATTTTCAGCCAGCTGCGACGAAAGATAAGATTCAGCCGATCTCTATACTCCCGCGATCGTATTCGAAAGGCTTCGGTAGAGGGATCTGCTAGTTCCGAAGCGAACGAGTCTCCTTCGGTAACGCGGAAAGTCGCCAAGAAGATCTGGTCGCCTGGAGGATCCGATGTTAGGAACGTGTCTGAAAGCATAACAAACATACGTTATCAAACAAACGATACAAGTGGTCACGCGTGTTATCAACCTGTAGTATTTATGCATTTATGACATACGCTATTACGGAAAATATATGCAAAATCTATGAAGAATGTATTTCGTTATATTCTTGGATACAGTTTAACAAATAAATTGAATTAAAGAACAGGTCGCGTTAAAAATCGTGTAACATTAATTAATTTATGAACGGGATAAACCCTCTAGTACAACAAAATAAAATTGCATAGCGGAAATGTGATCGTTTATAAAATTTTGCAAAATAATTATAGAGACACGCTTGAAGATAGAGTGAAATTACAGAGAAAAAGAAGCACATTCGCCTTGTAAGGTACCGACGATGCAAAGCCAAAAAACATACTCGTGAAATATTCTCGTAATTACTTTTTCGACGCGGACAGTATTCGATGTACCAATAAACGTAAACAGTGACGAGAAAATCCGGGCCATTCGAGCGCCTACAGCCAAGCCAGCTCGGGACTCACCTTTCACCGTGCCTTTGGTCAATCATTTTTCTACCGCAGAGATCGTACTTTTTCGATCCGCGATACAACTTCTTGCAGACAGCAAGCGATCTTTTTGCGGCTTGTAGATTAACCGCCACGAGAAACCGACGCGACCCGACGGACCGTTTCTATTCGAAAGTAGTATTCGAGTTCACGAACCGTTCTCCCGTTTGTAACATAGAACGTGATGCAAAAGAAACGAACGAATCAACAAGAAAAAAAGAGAAAATAATAGTAAGAACATCGATTCTCGACTCTGTCAAACGTTATCTATGCGCGATTTCGCGATTTCTACGAACACGGAATACTTTCGAAAGGAGAATTCGGTTAGTACGATGACGAATCTAAACGATCCAAGGACACGGATCCCCTCTTTAAGGTCGAACGTTGGTGGGGTCAGAGGCACGATGGCTCGACAACTCGGTCAGACCGTTAGCTCTGCTACTTTCAAGGCCTCTCCTCGCTGGACCAACGCGATCGTGCAACATCTTCAACCTTTGCCTCTCTCCGTTCTTTAAAGTACGAATTATAGAATTACCAGTCGCCAGCCGACTTTGTTGGCATTTCTCACGGTAACTAGTTCATCCACGAATTGCTAAAGTCTATCGAATCACGTTCGAATCGTCTGCGAGCAAAATGTTAGATCGCGGTGCCTGAGCGTGTTTTCCTCAAAGAGTCGGTAACTCGGTCGAACCGTTATGTTTGCGTATCGGCAGACCTGAATGAGTCCCTGGCCACGTCATCGTCCTCTTCGTTCCTCCGCGCGTACAAACGAATAAAGGTGTAGGGATATTTGGTTTTTACTTTGGCGTGGTAATACACGAAATTACTAATATTTCGTGTACAGACAGTCGGGCATTAATTTTCTAAAACTCTGGGTCAACAGCCTTTTCTAAATCTGCAGTTGCATCGATTACAAAAATTCATTTAAGGGTAGTTTCCATTCATTTGCGTTTATATGTGAATTAAGCAAAAAAAAAAAAAAAATAGAGACTTTGAAAGAAGAATTTATTGCTTTGACCCGCCAAAATTTGTTCTCTTCTTTTTGGCCTACTTTGAAAAAATTTTCTCACGAATCGGAGCATTCCGGGCCGTATCGTGCACGCTGTTCTTCGTTTATCGTAAGATCGAGCTCGATCTCAAGGTGAAGTGCACACGTTCACGGTGAAAAAGCACGCTCGCGAAAACAAAGGAAGACGTCGATCACACTTCACACATCGCGAAACATTCAGACACCGTGAACCGTCCGTCTCGCGAAACGATCGCGATACATTTCGCATGCAATTTCATGCCCGACGTGATCGTCGGTTGTCCGTGGCGTAATTTCATTTACGACGAAACCCTGGAAAATCGCACATAAATTCACCGGAGAAAGCGCGGGAAATTAAACGAGTACCGGAGGGCATTCGAAAATTCCTCGGTCTAGCGATCGTAGCGTTCGGCAAACAGAGCGATTATTAATTACGAACGAACTCGGAACGCCGGAAACGTTCTACTTGGAGCTCGTGGCAAATATTCCGTAAACGCGGGCGCGTTACACTTACAGCCGAGGTATATGGAGACTCCGGAGAACAGAAGGAAGAGTAGAAACGCAGCCAGCACGCAGCACCCGCAACGATATTGTCCGCCGAGTTTCCTCGTGAAACGAATGTCGCTGTCCGAGGAAAGAATCGAGCTCGGTGTCCCGGCACGGCTGAATCTTCTTGTGCTTACTGTGCTCACAGAGATCTGAAAAAAAAAAATAAAAATACCCGATCAAGAAAGTCGAAAAGAATCGATAGATTTGCACAGCGACGCGGGAAAGTTGCTGGAGAAACTGTGACGAAACGTAATGCACGGTTACATCCATCAGTGTTAGTACATTATAACGTTTGATTCGCTTCGCTAAATGAGAAAAGCTTGTTTCGTATGAATTATTGCTTTTGAAGCTGGTGGTCCATTCTTTCATATATTGAGATATTTGAGCTGAACTGGGATGAGTGACCGCTTGGGAATTCCAAGTATTGTTGTTGACGTTATTATTGTATAATGTTTATATTATACCCCTCTATCAATTTTATAATTGAGCATTACTAGCCCATTAACATTAAAAAAAAAAAAACAAAGAAACTACTTTGTAAATAGAAGTAAAATTGGTAAAAATAGTCAATAGTAGTTACGATATCGTTTCAAACGCCTGTGTCTTTGCAAACGTAGAGGAAGTAAAACGAAAACCCTATGTTAGGAAGCATTAAAACTAGTTTTGCGCTCAAGCATTTATTCCCTGTCCTGAACAGTGCTGGGATAGTGCAACCAGTCAACTTCCAAACGCCTCTAAATGGAAGTTCAACGTTACGAAAGAAACATCGATCAAAGTACTCGATATATTTGTAAATGCCTCTTCTGTTGCCCCAACAAACGTTGAGAACCCTGTGTTCTTTCTCCTTCTCTCCTAGATTCGTCTAGGCACGAATGAACCAACATTACCGAGATTTCTCAGCGAGGCACGACTTGTATTAACAATCACCGCATTTCCGTCTTACGGGCCAAATGAAACGACCAAGATTATACGAAGCGACCATACTGTTGCGACGATTTCTTCGTTGCGGGAATTCTCGTCCCGATAATTACGTAGGTTCGTTAATTAGAAACATCAATCGTCGCTCGATATCGCCTTTGGAAATTAGTTTCACAGCGTCGCTTTTGTCAGTATAATTTTTGGAGTACGTTTATACACACTCGCAAAAAGATAGCACGGATTTAAATTAATATATTATTCTTAGTTAAACATTAAAAGTTCACTTTCTTTTACACATATGTTTTCAGATTACCTTTATTGACATATACGTATGAAATGAAACGAAGCTTCATCATCCTATTTTCATTTAAAGAAACAAAATTATTAGCGAAATTTAAGGAGATAAATAATTATTTATTAGCGATGTTGATATATTAAAATATTTATTTTCTTCAATTTATAGACCTAACCCAGATTTCTAATTAAATTTCATTGATGAAATAAATTAGAGTTTAAGCAAAAGAACCGGTGGCTGAACTCAGATTTCTAATTACTAAAAAATATAAGATGCGCTATCTTTTCGTTCCCGGAGCGTTTCGGTGGAAATTAAAAACGAATCGTATGGATTTAGGAACCCCATTGCAAGCGTTTCACGATTGAAGTTGCATGGTAATCGGTGCAACGCGCGAAGTAATGCGTTACGTAACACGGGTACAACGCACACGATCGGTCCCCAATCGAGTTGCGTGCCGATTTCGAGCGTGCATTCATCTTGCATCGCACGATACACGGCACACGATACGTTTCTATGTAAGCAAGTAGGCACTTACATCGTGTATCGTGTACGTACGGACGCGGTCCAAGCAGTTGCATTCAGCGTCGAGTACAATAAGCTTATCTTCTGTGACGCGCGCACCTAAGTGTGCAAGCGTCCGTGTAATCATCCCGGCGTCGATGCACATGCACTTGCACGCTCGACGCAAAACACCGACACGCCTCGTCTGTGTTCGCGCGAATGCACGATGCGGCACTGAGAGGCCTACGCCCTCGTTCAAATGTTACGCTCGGCACACGCTCCAACGGAGAACGACCGGATCGGCGTACCTTTTCTCACCGATACCGCGAATCGTTAAAAACTTCCTCTTTATATCCATTTAAACGTACAATCTTGTCCCACGATATCTCTAAATATAAATTTATTTGTAGACAGTTGAGATAATCGCGAATAATCGGCCCGTTTCAATTAAAATTAAATATATTTGTTGGTTTGTCTCTTCCAAAAGAGAAAGTTTTCTTTCCTTGACAAAAACCATCGACGCGTGTGTTGCGTTCCGCGTTTCGAGATACAAGTCAAGGGGGTGCAGCTGTGCCCCCTCCTTGAATTGTTTAGACAAGGTATAGGACCGATTGGGTCTGCGGGTACGGGACGAATTTTTCGTCAAATCGTCACTGACCTTTTCATTCTGGATGTTTCTTTCAAACTGTGCAGACGTGCCTTCCAAGTGTTTCAAATAATATTAAAGCTTAGTTAAAAGTAATATCGATCAAATTGTTTTTTTATTCCACCACCTATTTCCAATAATATTTTAATAGGATTCGTAAATTTTGGCGAGATCACGAAAATAAGTACTAGGACTAATTTTAAGTTACGTAGATTACGATTTAAACGCGTTAAACAATTTGTAAAGAAGAGTAAGGAGGGTCGTGGTTTTCTCTTTCAACGTGGGACTATGGTTCTGGTCGTTAAATTTATCCAACGCATAGGTCGGATTCGGATCTAGTCGCGCATCTGGTTACGTGAGAAATTAAAAAGCCGGTGAATGAAAAAGATCGTCGAGCGCTCGTGGAAATAACGATACGGTTTAACTAACGCGCCAATGCGGAACACGCGCAAACGATCGATTACGTAAACGTTACCTTTTGTTTTGCACTCTACCTTTCCTCGTTTGTAACACCTATTCGAAGTTACCCCGTGATATCGCATCGAAGGAAATTACAGGTCACAGGCTGAAATGCCCGAGTAAAAGTGAATTCGCGAAATATGTATGTACATAACTCTACCAGGGTCGATTTCGTTTTCTCACGGCACCAGACAACATCCTACGCTCATACCTATGATGCTCGTCTTAGAGGCGCACGGCGCGACACTTGATGAGACATTGTCTCGCTTCGAGTCCGTTTTCCGTTATTTCCGTACTACGTTGTACGTAAGAGTTGGGTGTGCCCTCCAAAATTGGGTCAATAGTTGATTATTCAGTGTTCGTATCGCCCCTATGCGATTACCTATCTATGTAACTATACAAGTAAAATGCATAATAGACAGACGATCTATAATGGGAATCGTGAAAAGAGTCCCAGCGGGGCGTTAATGATTCCCGGAGAATCGAACCCACCGATCGAAACTAAAAGCAAATCGCTATTTTGTTCGCGTGTTACGTAAGCGATCGCGATCGAGACACCAGGGGTGTCTTTGGCAAACAATAGCGCGGGTATATTACGAAAGTCGAATGAAAGTTTGAGCACGAAGCCTTTGTGTTCTTCCAACCTAATTCGATAACAGTCTCTGGCTCGAGTTTTCGTAGGAAATGCTTGTTTAATGCACCGAGGTTGCACAATGTATGCCCGTACCCCTTTCGATCGAACGCGATAAATCACGGGAGACACATGCCTGTGAAATTATACCGTTGCAACGAAAATCTTTCGACGGGACGGTAAAACTAAGTAAATCTTTCTTCGACCGTGCAACGGCGCCCAAAAGGTCACGAGACTCCATCTTTCCTTGCAAAAAGGAACGGCAACACTTTCCGACGAGAGACGACTGCTCGATGATCCGCGACGAGAGAATGGGAATCGGTGACACGTTGCAATTCGCACGGTACGTTCCAAGTTGGAAACATAACGAACAGGGTCGAGCAGTGCCTGCACACAACCGTGATGCAACTATAAGAGGGTCCGTGAAAATTGTGAAAAATTCTGTGTAACTTGAAAATTTCTTCTTCTCTCATTTGCAGTATTACTGTTTAATACTTGGAAATTGTTAGGGGATACTGGTTATAGAAATATATCCAGGAGGAAGGCAATTTAAAAACATATATCGAGGATATGTGGAGGAGTATAAAACAAACAAAAATTAAGAAATTGTACAAATCTTTTCCTGACAGAATGTTAGAGGCTGTAGAAAATATAGGTAACGACACACGCTAATTGAGAAACCAAAAAATTAGTTGATTTTTTGTGAAAAACATTATAGTTTTGTCACGATGTGTAGATATCCACAGATATATAAAGAAGAAATTATTCAACCCTCGTCATCCCCTTATAATGCGCCATTATGGAGTCCACTAAAAAAAGAAGATAGTAATAGATTCTAGATGCATTACCAGTAGCAGCATTATTTTTAATAAAATAATCAAAATACGTACGATCGTTCTATCCTCGTTTCTATTTAAACGTAGTTAAATTAAATGTCAGTAAACGACGAAACAAACGGAGATCGGTCGACGAGATTACAACGTGTTCGGACTAGTTGTAGCCTCGAGAACATTTCCGTTAATGGACACGGTCAATGACTTCAAGGCCGAGAAAAATCAAGACTTGGCACGTTAGAAAAGTGCTTTCCATTGGTGGTGCTTTCGTGAAAGTTCGTTGCCGATTCCCCTCGTTACGGAGAGAGTTCCGTTCGATGTGTTCTGGTTCCGGTGGAATAGAATCGAACGGACGATCGCGGAACCGCGAAAGAATAGTTCTCGAACGACGTTTGCGCTCGACGATCGTCCACGCGTTGTCGCGCATAATTCTTTTCGATCGCTTTGATAAAAACGAACGCGTCGAACGTCCGTCTCGCGCGACGAAACGGTGTCAACGGCCCGCGGAAAGAATCTACCCAGTTCCATTGGCTCGCCCGGTTCCTCGTGTCTTTCTTCACCGTTATTACCGTTACTCCAAATGTCTATTGGACTACCACCTTTCCAAAAGAGCTGGCATCTAGGAACTCGTTCTGCTCGCTTTAAATTACAATCGGTTATCGGTGTACCGACACACGGTTGGCCGAGCGCACGTGTCTGCCCCCCCGACTATAGGGACCCAAAGTCGTAAAACGTAGCCGTTATCGGCGTACCGCTTATCCGTAAGCGCGATGATCGTTTTCTCCGATCAGCGAGCGAATTCCCGCGCGTTCGCCTCCCGTTCGCTCCCCTTTTATCTCGCGACGGTGCAACTCTGGAAACTGTTTCGCCGCGGCGAAAATTATAGACTGTCGTCGAACCCTGCACGCGACAGCCGAGAAAAACGAATCCAAGGCTCGCTTAAGAGAGCACGGGCCCCGTGTGCGCGTCTCGACGTCGACACGAACGGTCGCGAACGACACGTGATAAATGTCATTTGCGTATTCGAGCGGAATGCCAATCGCGTGATTGGCTGGCTAGTGGCGAGGTAACGGTACCGAGAGGAGAGCAGATGGGGGCCAACCCAACCCAACGCATCGTTCTTTATTCCAGTCAACCTAGTTCTCCGCCGAGTGCGTAGGCATTCGGCACCGTACGCCGTACGGGGTTAATGGAGAACAAGGTCAATGCGTCTATCGACACTCGACACGCGGACAAAATTAAGCGAAATGACATTTTACAAAGTAATGTTGTTTACATATCGTTAGTTGATGCTTGAGACACGGGGAATTTGCTAAATCGAGGAACACGCACGCTTTCATCGCGTGCTTCTCTTCGCCTTTCGATGATCTTTATCGAACAAGTCGACCGGAATGCAAAGTGTCTGAGAGGTCGAGTTGCCCCTCCTTGAATCGTGGAAACCGCTTCTGAGCGCTTGTGTTCCGAGCACAAATGTCTCGAGCGGTTTTGGTAGCTTTGGAGACTCGTAACTCCGTTGTTGCGTGGATGAACTGGACGTAAAGATCAATGTATGATTGCTGGGGACAGTTACCTCATTGTTGCATCGCTAATCAATGGTGGCTCGTTAGTCGATCAGCCGAACGGCGAAAGTAATTCAAGCATCGACTTGCGATTTCTTTTGAACGTCTATTTCCAAACGATACTCTCTTCGAACACATCTACGGTATTCCCAAAGTTTCTATCGGAGAACAGAATCGCCTACGAACGACCCGCCGCGTTACACTTTCGTCGGACACAATGCATTTCTGTCGACATCCATCATGCATCCCTTCGATTTTACGTTTTGTTTCGCGTCTAATTTCACACGGGGGCCAACCGGTTAATTAACCGCGCGAAACTCGTGCGGGAATCTAACGAGGAAAGCGCGTACAGGGGGAAAGTGCGCCACATTCGTCTCACCTTCGAGTCCCACGAGCTCTTCCGCTTGTGTTCCATTGTGACGGTCATCCTCGAGCCGTTGAAACGATTTCTTTCTGCTCCATCAACGATCCTTCGGTAGATTTGCCGCGTGCAGTCGCACGAACACCATCGCGGGGCTGAACTTTCTTTCGTTCGTTTAGTCTCTGAATAGGCACGTTCAATCCGCACGAGTTGCACCCAATATCACCGATAATTTCCCTCTCCCCGATAGACGAAACAGTTTGTCCAACGAGATTAGTTCCATGTACTTCTGCTTCGTTCTCGCGAGCCCAAACCTAGCGTCGATCGATCTCTTCGCACCTGTGCAGAGAAAGGAAAACAAACAGTGCATTTTTTTTTATAAATAAAAACAAACGTTTTACGCTGACGTCTTTCGTAAATTCTCGGTTCGAATCAAATCGCTTGTTGTCTGAAAAATTTAGACCCTGTTTCAAAGAGATATCATGGTCGAACAGGGACGTTTGCTAGCGACAGGTGTTCGATAGAAGGAAGGGGACAGAAACGGGCGAGGCGCTCGGCTAGATAAGCAGTGTTTGATCGCCGTGGCTGTGGAAGAACAATTTCTCTGACCAACTCTTGAGTTGAGAGATTGTCCAGAACCGAGAAAGACTGCCAGGGGAACGGAGATCTGCTTGCTAGCTCGCTCCCTCTCTCCCTGAATGCACTTTCACGTCATTACCGGTTCTCCGCAATGCTACGCGCTGCTACGCGTCACTTTTATGTGCTCCGCGCGAGGGCACGGTTATCGAGCAAGGACGAAATTACGAACGGCGAGATTCACTCGTTTTTCGTTTCGTTGCTAGAAAATAACAGCGGCGCGATCCTCGATCCATTCATCGACGCGGTTAATTCGTTTCGAAGCTTTCCTGTGTCAAAATGTGTAAACACGATCGAAGGGAAGTTCTTTATCGAAGAGGACTCTCGAGGGCTACGAATGCTTCGACAAAATCTGCATTTTTGATCATTTATTTTTAAGCGATAAAATTATGTTTTTCCATAAAAATTTTACATAGAAATAGACACGTATAAAGTGTATCTATGTCGAAAAGGTCTATGTTAGTAATATTGTAGGAAGTTGCGAGTTTCGAGAATTCTGAAGAATCTTAAGAATATCGGTACATATTCCTGAATATCTCAAGCCACCCGAAGTTTTCTTTTATCTCATTCCGAACATCGCTAATTTTTTATTTTTTATTTTTAATACGGTTATATATCAAAATTATGAATTGTAAACTATAAAAAGTAGAAGAAAAATAGCAAAAAATAAAATTTGCCCAGGCATAGTTGTCGTTGGTGAAAACAAATATCAGTCGCTCATAATAGTTGCTTGCATTTAAGAACACTGCGGTCAAAAAACTAATTGTTATCGTACCTGTAACATTTTTTACATCGCGTAATATAAACGTTAAGTTCTCCGTGTATTTCAACGAAGCCAGCGTGACGGAAGAAATCGTACACGAGGGTTGTCCTAGTTTATTAAGTCGTGTTATACAGAAACGTGCTATAAGAATACAACGGTACCGAAGGGCTGTCGCAATTTTTGTACCGTGTTATAAGAAGATCTGTACGATACGACTTACGAGGAAAGCTTTCAGGACGAATTAACCGTATAAATCGAGGACTCGCTGTACACACCATCCGTACCGAAGAGGCACGATCTCGGCGAGATCGGCTACACGTTTTAGAAAGCGTCGCGCATTATTGGCACGTTCGACGGGAAATCGGTAAAGCATAAAAAATGAAACCATACTCGATCTTTGCTCCGGTGATCTTGAGCCGAATGAAACGCAAAATTAAATAGTTCGTATGCTTTCTCGTCGACACCGGTTTTCACGGTATCTTTTATGCACTTCCTGCCGCACGAACGTCGCACGAAATACTATTCGGGCCTCGGATACCAAGCGAACGATTCGCTATGCGGAATCCCCGAAGGCACCATCGAACGTGAAAGAAAGCGAAAAACAAAAACGACGTTCGACGAGCAAAGAATATTTTTAGCTTTAACCAGTTTTCAAGGAATTTGGCTGCACCCGAAACCGCTCTATCGAGGCAAGCTGTCAAGGGTAACTAGTTTAAATCTGGATTCCGTCGAATAACGTTGCTTACCGGACTTCTCTATGCGCGAGTCGACTGTCAATGAACCGTGTCCCGAGCGTAACACATTTTTCCCCCTACCACGCGTGGACTTATCAAATTTCAAGGGTAGCTCGCGTCTTCGAACGGTGTCGATTTTGATCACCGGCGACCAGCTTCGTTACGAAACTCGCGATTCTTTTACCCGTATCGCGTAGGATGCACGGATCCGTTGTTCACACGGATAGAAATTTGAAAAACACGCGCAAAGCAAACAACGAGCCGCGGCGCGCGAACGGTTAAAGGTTTTGAGAGACTGGAAGTTTTGACCGACAAAGAATGCGCGGAGCGCTGTTCCCCGAAGACGAATCGTGTACCGCGGTAACGTTCTACTTGCGAACTTACCTCTCTGCTCTCGTTGCCGAATTCTTTTCGCCGAATAACTCTTCTCGCGATACTTGTTTCACTGCACGGTTCGTTTGTTTTTTTCTTTCGCTTGTCACAAATCAATGTTCATCGTTAACGATACCGGACTACCGACGATATCGAAAGCACGACGTTCACTAAATTTTGCGGAACATCACCCAGTCTCGTTCCCACTCGAAACAGTATTCCTACGTTGGATGACAGCTGTTGGTCCGCACCGGAAGCGTTTCCCTCGTCGAACCAAGGGAACGGTAAAGCGGCCTTTCACAGTCTACGAAACAACCGAGCGCACTCCTCGAGGCCCCGATCCTCTTTCGTCGTGTCACAAGAAAGAAGTAAACCGTTAACGAGATGGCTGAACCTTCCTGGAGCGAGGTGCACGCACGAATGTGCGCCGCTCGACAGTCGACCGTCGATTAATGACCTGGCGAACGTACGCGCGCCCTTCTCCGTCACAAGATCGCTTCCAGGTATATACCCGTTTACCAGCTCTCGCCGACTAATTGTTTACATTTACATATATTACAACTGTTGCAAATACCCCTCTTCCCTTCGCCCGTTCCCTACTGAAATACACTCGATAGGGTTAACTATGTTCCGATACTTTCTCGGTCCGCTTTATACGCGTCGACAGCTAGACCAAACCCTTCAAATTGTCCACAAAAACGAAACTGTGGTTACGGACAATTAGAAACTAGCCTACCCACAATTTGTCATTGAACCAATTTTTACAGACTCGATAAAATTCGAGAGTCCTATCTAGATTTATTTTCTTTAACATCTAATCTTGAAAATTAATTTCTTTAGCTCCTTAGTTAAATATGTGTTGAAACGGATACCGTCTCACCAATTTGATTAAACAAAATTCGAGCAAGCAGTGTCGAGGTTCTATGGCGGTAGTATAAAGTGTTCTAATTAGAAAATATAAATTAAAGTTGATTTCGGTTAGAATGTGATACGATCTATTTATTTTTAAACAATGTACTGTCAACGTCTTTCAATATCTCTGCAAACTAGTCGATTGAAATTCATCTGTCAAACAGGATTCCAAATGCACGTAGAACCATTTGCAATCAACCGAAACATTATTGTATAATGCTTATACAAGCGATTGCACAATAAATTTGCATACGAGTACGGGAACCCAGATATAAATTAAGTTTATTAGCATTCGTCAAGATTTCATATTGATTGAAATGCAAATCTTCGAATGCTTCGAGAGAAAAGAATTTGTATTTGCATTTCCTTTAAAAGAAATGGCTCGTATTTTCTTGACTTTTTGTTATTGCTAGCTGAAATGTTTTTTTCTTCAAAGCGTGTTGGAAGAAAAATAATCATTTAATGAAAAAACACAAGTTTCACCGCGTCTTATCTGTTTCTCTAATCTCTAATCTCTCGTCGACGTATGAAATTGCGGAGCAACGCTAATTCATTACGGTACTTGAAACGTTTACGAGTCGCATAAGATTTTACCGAGTACGTTACACCTTTAGCACGCATCTCCATATACGACGGACAAGTGTTCCGTGAAACGAGTGCTGTATCTATTTCTTTACGCAGCTAGACCCCGTATACGGTGTTTCGATCATTGATCGACAATTTCGACGCGAATACCCGTAGAAATCGTGGCGAGAAATTCGCTTGGATCACGCTTATACGGTTGGACAGGTTCGTACGAGCATACAATTGTCCCCCGAGCGTTAGTTGAAATCCTAAGAAGGCTCTGACCCCGTATCGTGCCAACGATAAAGTTGGAAATCGCTGCGTGCACGCGTTAGATCGTTCTTTCGCCTAAGTGACACGTTGGCAAACTATCGAACAAAATTATCAGTTGACGCCTGGAAGTATTTAAGGCTGGAATTATTCAACATCAGCTACATGGTTTTACACTCCAGCTATTACTATCATGCATATATGTATTTATGATTTGTCTCTATTTCCCTTTAAAAGAAAATATTAGCTGGACTTTATTTTATATTATCTGATTAAGATAATAATCGTTATGTTTTCTTATCATTCACTCAACACTTTCTCAAGTTCATCGTGTTAAATTATATACACATCATTATGTATCAGAATAATCAGTTAAATATTTATATATCTTTCACGTTTTCTTAATAAAGATCTACCTCTAAATGCTAATTATTTAATTCGCTACTAACAATTATTTATCAAGAAACATATCATAAATATGTATAATACAGATAGATTAAGCAACGATTAATTCTTGCGAAAGTACGGGCAGAAATAAAACTTCGGGTGCAGCTCGAGTACTTAATCGTTCAGTTTATTCGTATGGACAATTAAACGATACATATACATGGTGTGTACGAATTACGTGTTTCTCTCTTAGGTCTAATACATCGACAGCGATCGGAGGCGCGTACTCGGTATCGGTGCGATACTCAGTACCCCGCCACGATTGCGTAACTACGTTTAATGATAATAATAAAAATTAAGTATAACTACCCTGTAAAATACGTAATGCGAAAGTTCATTGATATTCGTTTATATTTATTCGTGATTATAATTCACTGATACTCGAGAATGATACTATCGTTTCGGGGTTAGCAGTATAAATAGGTGATCGCTCTCTGCAATTCAATAGATTCACAAGTTTCGGAGGAGATCTATGATATAATTGGTTACTCAGACGATCGACAGTATCGGGCAATTGCATTTTCTCCGGTCGACGCGCGATAATTATCGTTCGACATTTTACCGTGCAGGAAAAATATTGGTGATAACTTGCGACGCGCGGGTAAACGATCATCGTATTTCATCGACGCGTGGAAAACTTTATTGCTGATATTGCGTATCACCTCGTGTATAAATAGATCGGTTCGACCGCAAGAATTCTGACAAAAGTATCTTACGATCGTTACGATCGTTGCACATTTATCGGTTCTTATTCGTCTTCTAAATTCGACACTCGTCAAAGTTCGCGAGTATCCGCATCTTTTTACGTGTACGTTCGTATGCGCACGCACGCACGCAAGAGCAGAGGTATGCGATCGAATATTATCCAAAAATTCCTATAACGAGATGATATCGGCGTCGTTTCTTCGTTAGACAGCAGCACTACGATTTCGCGATTCGCTTCGCGGCGACTTTTACAGAGAATCGCGGGATCGCAAACTCGTGTGTTTTGATGTAGATTGGGCCGTAACGTGCGCATTCACGTTTCATTTTACGCAGAAACACGCATTCTGCTAACGAGAAAGTAAGCCTCGATGAAAAAATTCACCAGTTCACCGATACGCGATGAGAAAATGATTTTCTACGAACTCTACTCTTTCCATTCCGGAGACGTCATCCCTCAGTAAAGTGGTTTCTTGCCGATAATGTATGCTGTCGCGCGTTGCGTCAACAAAATAAACGACAGCCCGGCTTAACAGAGATCGACGAAGGAATTCCAAAGGATCTGTACCGAATACGGGATGCACGCAAGTGCAATAATGAAATGCAACGAGTATGTATAAAAAATGCGTAATGCGGTGTTCGTCATTCGTCGTTTAATTTCAGCTGCCATTTCGGTGACGAGTTTCATCGAGTAAACCGATGAATTCACACGAATCGAACGATACACGCCGTTTGACGCGCGGAAGAGAATGGTCCCTAAAATAAACAGAATCAATTCGGCTTGGTCTGCGTGCGCGAAACTAATTATCGTCTTCAAGAAAACGCACTCGAAGTTACATCGGTAGAAGAAAAAAAAAAAAAGAAGAAGAAGAAACAAAAATCATTCGAATAACAGTCGTGTTGAACAAGCTTTGTGGATATGCTTATGTACGCGACACGATCATCGCATTAAATAAAATACTGACGAACATTGAATACGTTACGTTCGATTCGCACGTTCAACACTTTCTCACCCTGATTCTTAGATCTATGATATTTAAACGTGACATTATCATTCTCCCGACGCATTAACAATTTCGTAAAATACATAAAAAAAAAAGGGAAGGTATAAAATCGATACCGTTTACTTATAATCCATTGGGACTCGCTTCAGTGATAAAGTCGTGGTCAACGTTTCGATATTTAAACACTCATCGTGTGTGTTGACCACCGCCAACGATGTCCTCCCGTCGCGAAAACAGTTTCAAGTTCCCCTATATCTTTTTTTTTTCTTTTTTTTTAATATAAATATCTAAGGTACGACATTGGTAAGTTATATATATATATATATATTTGTTTTATGTATATATATTTGTATATAGCGTAACCGATTTCATATTTCTAGGAATCAATGCAGTTATTCTCGATGCTGCAGTGATCGCGTAACACGATTTCCGTACCCTGTCTCATTCGCGTAAAAACAAGCTTTAAAGTTGCCCCGCACTCTCCGTGTGCAATACGTGTCTGTGTGCATGTGTATGTGTGTACGTGTATGTGCGTTTCTATGTGATGTTCTTTCGCGCGTAGGAACCTTTCGTTCCACAATTATATTCGTCAAAATTCTTTCGATCTCGATAGATACAGGGTGAGAGTAAAACGACGACGCTAGTCTGTATTAAAATTACTTAAGAGCCTCACTAGTCCGCTTCTCCGGCGAGAATTGGCGCTGGCACGGTTTCAGAGATCGGTATCGTACCAAGCTGCAACCTGATTGTTATCTTGCGGCGGTGCAGGAAGCTCTTCTAAATGATCGAAACTCAGGTCACCCTCGTGCGCTACGTCCATAGTGTCCATTGCGCCGTATGTCGACCCTCCACCTATTTCCAATCCTTGCATTGAATCTACTGGTATCTGCCCATAACCTGTACCGGTAGAAAATTCATGATAACATAATCCATTCCAACGTGGTACGATCAATCGACAAGGAACTACACTTCTAAAGACTCTGCTAAAATTTCCTCAACCAGTAGAGCACAACTTTGCACAATACTCGCGAAAGACATTTTCTTTTTTTTCTCGACGAGGAAAGAAACCGTTCCGGGTATTTTTCGTTAACGAAACGAAGATAAACGACAAACGATCGCTTCGTATCATTGAATCCAGAAGCATAACGACGCGTGAAAGCAAGTAAACTCGTCGAGAGAAAGAGAGAGAGAGAGAGAGAGAGAGAGAGAGAGAGAGATAAAGAAAGATATGAGAATTTAACGATTACAAAGGTCGATACGAAACAACATATGCATGAATAAAATGATAACCACGATAAGTATCTAATGAAATGCACAATGTAGAAAGAACGAACTGGAAAAACTAAAATTATATCCGTGATCTTGATCGTACTGTCATGCCGTAGGCCCCCATAGAAATAAGTACAGATTACTCATAGCGATAAGGTTAGTCATAACCAATAGATGACGAACTTGTTGACTACTCTAAGGAGTCAAAACAAGTGCGTCATACGCCTAGGCTCAACCCGGCTGTGCCGATAGCTATAAAACCATACCGCTCCTGGCCCTCCGGGCTCATTTTCACGTTAAATCTTGTAATAAGTGCATCGTCATACTGTCTCCGAATAAACCTTAGAGTATATCCTGATATCTTTGCCCGAGTGCTTGAACCTTTCCCAATCAAAAATCAACCTAATATTGTGACGCCGCAACTATTTGGACGAGTCTGCAGCTTACGGCATAACAGTACGATGTTTTCGCATTAAATCGCGATGCTTTCTCCGCGGCTTTATCGGTACTCGATCAAAGTCGTTAGGGAACGCGTTCGACTCGATACGTACGCGAAAGCATCTTATCTAATTACTTACGAATACGTTTCTATGCTTCTTTCCACCATAAAGTATGTTCAATTAGAGAAAAGATAATGAAAATACAAATACAACCATGCATGAACCTACGTAAATAATAAATTACAGAAAACGCTATAAATGTATGGTGTTCTTTTTCTTTTCGTTTTTGTTTTTTTTTAAATAGAAACAAAAGCATTCACAAAACGTGCATTACATATAATATTTACAAAAATTCAGTAGAAGGTGTATATTACGACGAGAGTGTAATATTAAATTGTGTACACAACGAAAAGCGCGTAAATAAACATTTAAGCGATTAATAACAAAGCACAGAACAGTACGTAAGAGCTGAGTGTCACCTATGTTACTGCGAGATACTGTTGATAGCCTGTATTTTAATATAAGTCCGTCGGTTAAGCTGCTGTTAAAACAACATAGAATTAAATGCATTGCTTACTTTTTCCTGATATCGTCGATAATATTAAGAAATAGATGGGGTTATCGAAAAAAGTTTCTAGAAAATTGTATCATACAAGGTAAAAGACAGAAGGCAGGAGCACATAAAACCCGTCATTACCCATACCAATCTGTTCCCGATGCACGAACGAGGAAGACGATTGTTTAATTTTCGACAGAAACAGAGGTTCTCGACAGATCATAAGCCGTATCAAAGATTACGAGGTCGAACCATTAATAATCGCGAAGAGAAGAAATTTGTAGATTCACCTACGACCGAGCGCACGGATCGTTCGAAAGCAATAATCGAATAGAAATGATAACGCTCGTAACTTACCTTGCGGTTGATACCCTCGACCTCCGTGGCTGCTGTGTACGCTAGGGGGTCCTTGTCCATACATACCATCATAGCCTTGATCAGGGCCAAGCATGTCCTGAAGATTAGGTAGCTCAGATCAACACAAGACCTATCTTCTGTTGTAGGCGTGTCATTAACACCCCGGAGAGAGTATAGGTCGAACGATACTCGTCGCAGTATCGCCGATAAGTCGCGTAGAAAATTAGTGTTCAAAGACGGTATGATATACATATACGTATGACAATAACGCGTCGTTGCGTGACGCGTTCGTAGCGTTTAAGAGTACTATCGCGCTCGTTTTTTGTTACACAGCCTGCAAGGGGTGAAACACGAATGGAACGAAACGCATTCCCATGCATAACGTAACGTTGCAAACTGAGGATCATAATAAAGTCATCGCTGTACATTTATTACAGGTTCCATTGCTCCATTAGGCACGACCCTGGGGGCCCGGTTTCAGCTCATGAATAACGCGTTAATGACTCGGATATACAGTATGCGGAATTTTTAAGTGAACGGTGGAACGTAGTCAAAGCTGAAGCATCAATTTGAACGATAGTTATGAACGTATGCGCAACAAATGATAAAATGTAGCGTTAATACCTATTTGAAAATTTATGGTCGACAGTAAAATACACTACCTTAAAACTACGTCTGTACATTCTACCCGATTTCGTTTCTCTTTCACGTTTATCTCCCGAAAAAAGATCAACATCAAACGTATCTAAGTTGTGCGAACTGGAATAATGGATAACGACATTCACTTTTGCAAACTATCTAGTTTTACACTTCTAAACTTACATGGCGGGGAAGATTACGTATGCAAGTACTTGTTGTTACTAATCAGATATAATCGCTATCGCTATTATGTTCTCGTGGCTTAATTTACTTAACACGATGTAACCAATCGCACAGAAGGAAATTTCTATTCTGCTCTAAACGTCGACTTTTATCGCAAGCTGTTCTACAAACCTGATTCCTGGAATCTATTCGAAAGCTAGCACGGAATAGCAAGTACGGAGGTGCTGATTCTTATCGCAGCAGCACATGCCGCCAGACGAAAACGAAAACGAACAAAAGAAAAAAAAAAAATTGTAAAGAAAAAGACCCTATGTTACAAAGTGTTTGTAAAAAAAATAAATTTAGCCACGGCATAAGCGAGGCATGCATCGATATTACAAGTTACAGTACCTGCAAATCAGGAGGCATTCCGAAGTCAGCGTTGTTCCAGAGATTGGTATCCTCGCGGAATAAAGAGTTTGTAAGTTCTATGGACAGTCGTTTCTTATATTCTTGCGGTTTGTCCTCGCTCATGCGGAATAACACGGCTGCTGCGTAAGTCGCGACGCCCTCGTTTCTAGAATGAAGCAGCTCCGTCAAAGGAGCAGTAGCACCTTCTCGTTCGATCATTTCAGCACTTTCTTTGTCAGTAGCAAGTTCGCAGAGCACTCCGGCCGCTACGCGTTGAATATTCTCGATCTCGTTAAACAGCAACTAAAACACGAGTATATGCAGATTAACACGAACGAACGAACGAATAAAAGTATTGAATTAAATATACTGACCTGTACGAAAATCGGTATTACGTTCTCAGTTCTGATCATGACCCTATTATGCGATTCTCTCGCAAGAATATGAAGCGCTCCTACGGTACCTTCGACTATTTCTTCCATGCGTACACCACCATCCGCGTACACGACCGATGTCTGCTGACTTCCGGTGCTTGCCACAGATGACCGTTGCTGCTGAATAAGAATCGATCGTTTTTCAAACGTATTTGACCGTAGAAAACATTTTTCGTGCGTAAAAATGTTCGACGTTAATATTTACCCGTTGTGTTTCGGGAAAAGCGCGCATCAGAAGCCTAACGAGATAATGAATCGCTCCATGATCACGAAGCGGACCATGATTCGCAGTACAGAGTGCCAAATTACGAATTAATCCAATCACAGCTTTAACGAGCGGCCAACGCGAAGGTGGACGTAGAAGTTTTACTATGACCTGAATGCCATAATTTAGACGAATAGAATTCTGTGCTGTTTCTGCCTCTCCGTGACGCGACGTCAAATGGCGGAGTGCGCATACTGCTGGTTCGCTGATTTCCTCTCGACTATCCGCGTAAATGATGGTACGAACAAGGGCATCGACACCACCCACTTGACATACTGTTACTTTGTTACGTTGGTTGTTGCAAGTAAGATTTGATAATATACCAGCTGCACAAGTGACAACATTTACATCTGTTGAGCTGAGTACTTGTACAAGACTCTGTAGTAAACCTTCTAATCCGTCGACTTTGGTACCAGCGTCTGACAAATTTCGTAGTGTCCACAAACAATTCTGGACTAGTCTCTGACTCGGATTACCAAGGTGCATCGAAAGTGCTTGCATACCACCTGCTTCTACTATTGCTGGTTTATTGCTAGAACAAACTGATAACACTTTCAAGACTCTCGAAGTGGTCCATAGTAGCTTCTCGTAATCGTAAGAACGCATAATGCGTACTAGTTCTATTGGTCCTTGCGAAGCTAATATAATTAACTTGCTCTCCTGATTGCCAAACACGAGAATTTGCAGACAATCTGTTACTATAGCTAAAAACTTTACATTGTTTCGTTGAAGCAAATTAACCATTTTTTGTAAACCTCCGGCAAGACGTATAGCCATTTTAGAACCATCTTGATGTAACAGTAAATTATGGAGCGTTGTTATGGCATAGAAGAGAACAGATTCCATCGGAGAGCTCAAAAGTTTCACAAGAGCTGGTATACCACCGCTTTTGAAAATAGCCAGCAAACCTTGTCTGTGATGAGATAAATTGTGCAATGTGCCAACTGCTGCTTTTGTCGATTCAAGATCGTCACTGTTTGAAATTGCACGAACTAACGCAGCTACCATTTGAGAACTGTTCATGATAGCATGACGAGAAGCCTCTTTCTTTGAAAGTTGGTGAACCACCATTGCCGCTTTAGATACAACAACTTGGTCCTCATCGTTTAACAACTTAATTAATTCTGGTATTGCACGAGTCGCCAGATCTGCGTCATCTTGATAGTTTATCAAGTTGACGACAGCATGTTTCAACATTTGACTTGGTTCTGCCAATCTCTGTACAGCGGTGGGTTGAGCCGGATCAAATTGCGTAGAAGGAATTTCAATACCCTCTTCCAAAGTTTCTGGAAACATGGCAGCACGAACACGCTGCGATCTTGTGTGACTCAATTGTTGATTCATTTCGTCCACTTGGTCTTGAGTGAAACCCTGAGCAAATCCCTGATCCAAATCGAACATCAGCTGGTCACCCTCCATCTCGTCGTCCTCTTTGCCAGATAAGGACGGCGCTTGGGTGACAGCACCAGAATGTATTCCGGAATCACCCATGTATGAATTTTGCTGCCACATCAGGGTCTGTTCGTTGGCAGAACCCATGGGCAATTCACCCAGACCTTGATAATTTCCATGAGACACTACAAGATCAGTCGTACATAGTATCATAAATTTCTAACAGAAATACCATATATTTGTTCGTGCAAAGCGTACTTACTCGGTCTGGACTGGTTCGAAGACATTTGATAACTCATGGCTCCTACGGGAGAGTCTATCCACACCTAGAGTAAAGAAACACTGTGATATATGCTAGTATTTTCAATACTGACACACGTTCAAATAATCCATAAAATCTAACGCCGACACGTCGCGATTACGCATGCAAATGAAAGTCGTTAATTTATTAAATCGTCGATGCCACGATCGTGTTCTATATCAACGTAGCGTAAAAACGTGGCGGAATGGAATAATAAGACACATCGTACGAATTGGAGTGCACCTCGTTCGACTCGCGTATCGATAACAGGGAGAAAAAATCAAGTTCCAAATTTCACAAGCGTTACTCGTCTTGTTAGACGATTCGAAGACGCCAAGACGCGCGTAGGGTCAGTGCACCGTATCACGAAGAATGGAAGGAAGATGAGACCGTACGGAATGTGGCTACGATCGAAAGATTCTTCTCTCTAAGCGTTCTTGCAGCTTCCGCTTTTATCTTCAAACAACACACACGATACCGAGGGATGCTTCCGTCCACTCGAATATGGCAGAAAATTGCAGAGCTAGAGGTGTACACGAGGCACGAACGATGCTCGATTCCCGAAGGTAGAGGGACGCGCGTGGGCGTGCGGCACAACAAAGCCTCCTAGAATGCAATGCATCACCATTTTCCGAGGATCCACGGGCGACGGAGAGCGGAGAGCGGAGAGCGGTAGGGGAGCGAAAACGGAAGAACGGGTAAGAGATACATTGACTACGATATACGCTGGCGGAAGAGAGAAAGGAGATAGAGAAGGAACACTTTGACACACCCAGCGTAAACACCGCCGTCACGGAAATGACAAGTTTTTTCCCCCTATCGGTCGACGTACGTAATGGCGAACGATAAAATTCTACAGTGCTTACCGTATCGCGAGGATCGACCGAAGGCGATTTCGTGAATCGTGCTCGAACGAGGACACGGATGACTCACTACCGCGACGCTCGATCCACCAAATTCCCTTTTGCCCCCGACAAGCGAGCTCTTCTCCACCTATCTCTTCTCCGCACGGAGCTCTCTTGGCCTGTCTTCGCTCGGATCCGTCAACTAAAGATGGCGGAAAACGACGCGCAACCTTCGATACTACCGCCACCTGTCGCCTGCACTGACTCGTGCCTGCAGTGGTGCTCACTATATTCTCACGACGCAACCTCCATTAGCTCGATGTCTCTACGTAGGAGAGTATTTATCGATTTCTACCCCTTACGAATACTCGATCCCATCCAACTGAAACTTACTCTTTATCCGTGGATTCTGTATTTCTTTGATCCGCACCATTTGAAATGTTAAATACAAGCGACTCGTAAGTACATTTTTCGTTCAGAATGTGAGGTTATAAATTAGAATCAACTGGCAAACAACGCTCGATACAGCGTGAAAATGCTTACTGAATTGCGAATAGGATTTGAATTATGAATATTTTATTTGGAAATTACACGGCTAGCGTGTATATGTATATGTGCACGCACGTCTTTCTATACATATACGTATATGTATGTATACACGCAATGCACTTGTGATGCATGCATATTGTACATACGTAAGTACCAAGAGCTCGGTAAAACGAAAACTCGAATGATCTGCCGATATGTCATAAGAAAGTATGCCAGGTGTTGAAACATGCAATAACCTATAACGTTCCAATATCTCGTGCAGGGAGACTGAAGGATATAATATCCTGCGGCCGCGGAGATCAATTTCAATTAAAAGACGATTCTCCAGGACATGGCAATTTTTTAATGGATTCCAGTGGATATTTGTCCATCCACTGTGGCCGAGAATTTCTGATCGAGTCCGGGAGTAAATCGTGTAGCTGGACAGCTAGAATGCGCGCAAAATAACAGACACTGGAGTCCAAAGTAAAATATACTGGCCGTTTGGCGGGAACACCATTCGTTATCGGCTGCGCCCACGCCGATTAATTTTCGGATGCGTGATGGCGGTACCGTTCCTTCCGTTCCGTACAGTGATGATACATTTTACGTCAGCGCTGATATTGAACGGATAATCGGAAAAAAGGAAAACACGCTTTGAAGTATATCATCCCGTATCGATATTTCAATATCGACGCGTAGCTTCCTCGAATAAATTTGCACTTGTTCTTTTAATTAATAACGAGCAATAACGGCATTTCACATAATTCGAAAGATAAACGAAATGGTTTCTCGTTTCCAGATTTTGTTCTCTTCCACTCACCGAGAGAGTAAACGGCGGTTACATCGATTAAAAGGAAAATTTATTAAACGCAAGGGAATTTATTTCTATTCCATTTCATTTTAAATGCTTGTTCCGCGATCAAAATTATTTTCGATACTCGTTTGTTTATCGCGATTATGCTCACCCGTTAACGAATGAAATATTACCGTGCCGACGAGAAACAATCTTTGACATGCGAGGAGAATCTTATTCGAGGGACTGGAAACTGCAACGCCTTGATAAGTGTCATCGATAATATGGTAATAACGATTCATAGCAACGAAGACTTCCGTATTAATCTAAGTAAAGCTCTCGAAGTCGATCTATGCCAAGAATCGAGCTTAAAGTCACGGCTGTTACGGTGACAAATATTCCGGTACGCTTTGAATTCGTTCGATGTGTTCGTACATTGAACGTGCAAGAGAGGCTCGCTGCACGTAGAAGGGCTATCTCTATACTGCTAATATTTCTCGACGGCATGCTTATTAAAGTAGTCTATAAAGGATAAGGAGGTAAATTGTGTTTCAATCGAAGCAATCATTATTTTCGTTCCACGAAATACCTCGGTTGGAATATATCGAACGGGCGGACACTTTTACGATTCATTGCCAGAGAGAATACGCGATTTTTTTCATCGCGAAACATTTATTTATTTGTATAAGAGTCGAGTACGACGTATTCTCGTAGGTTTCATTTATTTACGAGCCTAAAGGGGGAGCGAGTAGCCCACGCTTCGCTATATCTGGAGGATACTGCCCTTCTTAACCAGATCGGTAAAAGCGTGTGTTTCGTATTTCCGACGAAAAAATGACACGCAGAGGTCAATTCTACGTCCGATCGATCCACGGAATCGAAGATCGCGGAAACTAATACTGGCCAGAAGGGCAGAGGTCCGAGTTTTGGTTCGCTCTTTTTCATTCTTGATTCCTTAAATTTCGCGTGGCCCTCGAAAAAAGCATGGTACAGTCTTGGAAGCAGACCAGGTAGAGCATAGAGGGTGACAGATGCCTGTTCAATGGTGTGTCTCCCCACCTACGCGACATGCTGCTGACACGAGCGTTTATGTCTGCATAAATTCTCATTTGAGCCCCGATAATAAAGTAAGCACATGAGGGGGACGGACACACGTTGCCCGGTTCGGCGAGCACAGGCTGATACATAGATCACCGTTGAGCGTGGGGCAAGAAAAGGGGGAAGAGTGGAGCAGGGTTGAGAGACGGAGGCAGAGGGGATGAGGATCTCAGGGGCTGAGAGGTTCGCAGGGGTAGAGGGGCCAACGATGGCTAGGCATATATTTATGTGTATCTATATAAGGTACACACGAGCACGTTGCCTTTCGAACGAGTCACTACACAAAGCTGGACGCACGCACGTATACAGCATTCTCGAGATGCAGCGTGCTTAATTATATGCATTCTCAGAATCTACGCGGGTCTCCTTCGCCTAATGCCCGTGTATACTGCAATGCTTCGTGTTTACGCAGAGAAAGAGAGAAGAGTCACCGTGCATCATTTACTGCCCTCATCCTGGGATAGCACGAGGCACGGGGAATCGCTATTTCTTCGTTGCCCTCTTCGATTTTTAAAAAGTTTAGATGGATCGATTCGAGATTCTGTTTCGTATCGCGACCGATGGCCGCGAACGCGACTACGCGTCGACCGTGTATCGTATCCATCGATAAAACGTTCGACATCGGCGATGACATTCGTCACGTTCTGAAACTTGGCGACAATGTCGACGATGATCAAGCACACGGAAGTTCCGGCCATTTTCCTGAAACTCCAAGGTGCGAAAAGGTGGGAATGACCACTCCGGTCCCGAGGGAAGAAAACGAGCCAGCGTAGAACTTTCGCAGACACAGTCGTATCGTCTGGCGTAGTTGATGGAGTAGTCTCGTGGCTAATGTCGAGCGAGGGTGGCGGATACAGTCAGCGTCGTGGACGACAAACGATACCCGATTCATCACCTGGACCAACGGAAGGGACTCACGCAATTCCCAAGACACAGACAAATCAAGGGAGTGTCGAAAATCAACGGAGGAACCGCGAGAGGACCGATGAGTAGTTTCGCGCATCAGGATTGATGGCGATTGGCAATCCCTTGAGAATTCGAACGATTCAACGATCGAACAAGTTAGAATGTTTAATGTACGAGCGGGCGTGATTTTTTCCTTTCCAGTTTGGAGATATAGTCGACGCTCGGAAATTAACGTTAATTACGTGCACGCAAGTTAAATTAATGGACGACGGGATTGTACCGAATATCATCTATTGTTTCCGCGATTCGACGGAAACGATAATTAACAAGGACTCGATGGCAAAATCGGCTTGGAGATATACGTTGCCGAGATACTGGTTTATCATGGACAGCTGCGGAGAAGTTCCGCTGTCCGAAAAGGTACGAAAAGAAGAATCGACCGCGATGGTAATAGCAAATAGTGGCTGAGAGCAAGGAATGGGTACGGGATAGGGGGATACGAGGGTAGCGTGGTACCATGGTACCGGAGCACCTCGTCGAGATGGTATCCGGGGCGTGCCTCGTGTACCGCGGCGTCGTCGAATCGAAACCCTTGGCGAAGGTCATCGAGATCAGCGCACTCGGCACGTCGATCAGACGATTTTGTGCGGCACACCTGCGCTCAGGCTTATCCGGTCTGCGCGGAGCGGCTCCTCGCGCGCACAGCGTGTGGGTGCGGGCTGACAGCTCCTATCGGAATGGCTCGGATAGGTTATTGGAGGTCCTCAAATGGTATCGAACAAGGTTCTGCTGGAGCGCGCGGGAGGGGTGATAAGAGGGAGCGGTTTCTCTAAGTATCGCGAAAGCCACGCATACAATCCACCGCACGCACACGCGACCGGTCGTGCACCGTGTGTACCTTGTGTGTGCACGAGCTACGCGCCCGACACACAAGCGACCGACTCACCAGCACGATCCAAAGACCGTCTCGAACGTACATACGTCGATTTCCGTACGTGCGACTCTGGCCGCGGTCGATGTGTGCGTAAATCGAATGCACGCGCGTGTTCGAGTCCGAGATTGGCCGGTCTACTCGATGCCGAGGGAAAAGATACTACGGGACGTGGCCATCACTGATGAGCCAACCCACACCGTACGACAGCGACAAACAGGACAGCACCGGGACAGGACAGGACCGTCTCGCTCGGTATCAGGACTGTAAATCCGGGATTTTATTCGCCCGGTATCGAGGTTTATAGTGTCCTCAGTGGTACGAACTTGTGTGCGTCGTTCGCTGGCGTACGTGTGTCTGAGTTATGTTCAACCGTCTCGCGGCAAGACGTTTGCATATCTCCGCTCCTCCGCTCTCCTATACGAACCAACGTCTCCGGGGGAGACGAGCCGAACCAGAGGAGGAGAAGAGCAGGAAAGGACGATCCTCCGGCCTCCTCTCTCCCC